CCAGCTTGTCGCCACTCGGCCCGTGACACATTGGCTTCAATGCTCTCAGAAATGTTGACAGTTTGCTTTTCAAGATAATCGCTGTAGTCTCTATCTAAGGACTGCAGGAGGACCTCGAGGGATCCCTTAAGAAAACACCCTAGTTCCAACCCCCACTCCGCAACGTGCAAACGCTTCCAGAGAAAGTCCCCAGCAGCTTCGTCGAGCCTCGTCCACATGGCGACGATATCATGCCACAACGGGGTTTCCCTGATCAAGTCATCATCGAGTCTTTCCCGAAGCTCGCCCTTTCTGACGCTGGAGGCCAGGAAAAAAAAGGCGCCCGACATTATCTTCAAGTCCGCCTTTCAGGCGAACATACATCAGCGCTTTTTTGACGGCACGTCGAGCACGGATAAGCCAGAATGTGCCAACAGTCAGGTAGGGTCTGCGTGGCCTCAACGCCTCCTTTTTGAAAGCTCTCTTGACAGCCTGCCGAACATACTCGCACGTGTCCTGAAGCTGCACATTCAAGTCAACGTGCCACTCAGCAAGTTGAAAGTTTCGAATGGATTCTCTAAACAGGTCGCATGGCCCATCCAGGAGCATCTTGCCCCTGTCTAGGGCAGCAGCAGCACCAACACTTTTGACGGTCTCGCGTGTCCAGGCAAGCTTGCCAAGCACAGGGAAGTGATCATCGGCTCTCCTGATCAAGTCAATGTGATGTTCCACGGAGATGTCAGAGATGCTTTTAAAAACCTCCTCGTCAGTAACAAAAAAGTCGATTCTGTGCTTAGTGCCAGCTTTATGTGACACGAATGTGAAGTCTTCCTCGGGGCCCAAGAACGCATTAGCAGCCTTCAAGCTGAAGTCGTTTAGCCATTCCGCCATTTTGAAGGTTCCCGCCGAGCTCTGGCCCCTCATCCCCTTGGTCCCCGCATAGGAGCAGTCCTGATCCCCCTCAAGATGGCAGTTGCCATCAATGAAGCAGAGGTTGGGAGGCCATCTCTCTGCTACCTGGCGCATATCATCCCAAAACTGCTTCCGTTCAGCCGCAGTGTTGCTCGCATGCGGGGCGTGTGCCACAATGATATTTAAATTCACAGCTGGCGCATCTAGTCTGCAGGCTAAAAGACGCGGTGAGGACCACATCACGCGAAGCTGCTGCACACTGAAGGTAAGAGGCACCCCTTTTGCAGCCCCATAAGGAGCCGTGACGTTGAGCCAAAGCTCACAACCCAAAGAAAACGGATGGTGGCCCGAGGAGACACACACCCAGTCTCCAGCCCTGCGGGTGCCTCTCTCATTCCTCCCTTCCTGGACCCCCACAACATGAATTCCTTTCCGATACATTTGCGATCTGAGGGCAGCTGCTCGCCTCGATCTGTTCCTTGCCTTTTTGCCGTGGCGGTGAGCCCGGCGAATCGATTGGGCGTTGAAGGACGCCACCTGAAACTCCACAGCAGCCGAGATCTTGCGCCGACTCTGTCCCTCGCCAGCACTCTCTGACTCGCACTCGGCTTTGCAAGAAGGCCTCACACCGCTCACAACCATCCTATCTTGTTCAAACGAGAAAGTGGGGTAGGCATGCGCATCCGCTTGCCCCTCCGAGGCCCAATCCCAGAGTCTGGAGGTCCCAAAGCAGACGGCATCAACCCAAGCCGACGGAAGAGGCAGGGGTGCGGGTCCGACCGATCGCGCAGTTATCTTCGCGGCGTTGTCCGCAAGAACGTTCCAAGGGTGGCCGCAGTGGGCCTTCACGTGTTCGAGGGTAACCCCCGCCTCTTCTCGAACCATATCCCAGACCACCTGAACCAGCTGAGCTAGCTGACGACCCGAAGCTGGCAAACTCCCCCCTTTGGCCGCTCTGATGGTGGTCAGACTGTCAGAGCTAATGCTGATTGGGCACGGGGGCCTCTCAGCCAAAATCCTGAAAAGACAATACAAGATGCCTAAGCACTCAAGAGTAGTGCTCGTAGCACCATCAGGCTCAATGCTCATCGAGTTACTTGCTTTTAATTCTCCCCTAAGTATCCCTTGATAAGCATGATCCCCACCCTTGTCAATGGTCATGACCACTGCCCATGCTCCCATCCCCTCCCCTATTCTGTAGAGCGAGCCGTCCGTGAAAAAGTGGATGGCGTCGGGGACCGTGTCCACAGGTAGCGGAGGGTAAGCCCTCAGCGCCACCTCTGCCTCGCACTCGAGTAGGCCCGTATCGCGAAGTTCTCCGAGCGGTAGTAGCTGAAAACCTGTCCTTTCCTGAAGCACCAAGTCCCGAACCCTGGGCAGTGCTGCAAAACTCAAAGAGAAGACTCTAGGCGTGCTATGCTCGTTAGAACCTCGCTCATGGGTCCCGTGGCTGTGTGCTACTGCGTCTCCTGAGGGCCTCTCAGACGACCTGGCATCAGAAGTGGACCCCAAGGATGTCATGGCAGCTGCCGCGTCCGTGCCCCGAATTGTCTGGCCCTGCTGATCAGGGATCTGCTCGCACGAGTCATCGCACCTGTATTGGCAAAGCTTGGTTTTCCGACAAGCTGCAGAAATGAAATCAGACGTTTTGAGAATAGACCTAGGAGCACAGATGGCCCCATCACCTTCTAACTTCCCCGAAAAGGTGACACATGCACTATTTTGGACATTAGGCGGGTGCACAGAAGCATAGCGTGGACCCAAACTGGCGAGGGAGCCAGCCGACCCCGCCAGCCCCAAGAGGCCAGGCGAAATGCAAGTAACACTGTTTGGTGAAAGAGCGAACCTAACCCGTTTGCCCTCACTTACCTGCTCAGCCTCGCTCAGCCGCGCAGCATCAGCTCGATCACGTGCCCCTGCTGCGCGATCAGCCCGCTGACGATGCCGTCTTGGCTCATGATGCTCACGATGTTGCTTCAAGCTCCGCCCAAGTTCTGCATCTTGGGCGCTTTGCTGGGTGGTGACCTCCCCTCCAGCCTCCCTGCGGTAGCCACCGTCGTAGTCGCCGAAGAACTGCTGGCCCCAGTGCTCGTTGCCGCTGCCTCGCACGCCTGATCTATCTTCTCCACCTTTCGCTTCAGGCACGCCTGATCTATATTGTCGATCTCCCTCTTCACCTGTGACGGGTTGGTGGCCTCCACCTGGTCCGAGTGCACAGGGTGGGTGACCGACGGCGGCGCCTGAGCTAACAAGTATGGATCCTCGGGCTGTGTATCCATCATCTCCGTCGGGGTGATCGGCTCGACAGGCATCTCCACCGGGGGCGGTTTTACCATCAGGCCCGACACGAACGGCGTAGGCCTCTGATTGGCGACCATCTCCTCGTATCCAGTCCTCGCCTGCGACCCTGCTGGTTCCGTAGGCGTCAAAAGTGGCGAAGGCTGTCCAGCAGGGATTGGTGTTTCCGTGCCTCCTATCGGCGTGCCAGGAGCCGCCAGCACAGCTGCTGGCGTGCACGGTGCTGGCGTGCCCGCTCCTGGAGGCTGCTCTTGTACACGAAACCCCGCGGCTGCCGAGGTCCGCGCCTGCAGCCATCCGATCACCGAGTTCAGCATCTTGTCCTGCTGCTCCTGCTTGGCACTCATCATCTTCAAGAACCCCAGTAGTTCCGCGGGCAGCTGAGATTGTTGGGGCTGTTGCGTCTGCATCTGCGGCTGCATCTGCTGCTGCCGTTGCTGCATCTGACCAGGATGTGGCGCCCCCTGCTGGTATGGCCCAGTCTGCATCTGCTGAATCATGCCAGGCTGAATCTGGCCATTCTGTATAACTCCCTGCATGCCTATCCCAGGCGGTACAGGCTGCTGCTGAGGATGAGCCTGCTGATGCTGCTGAGACTGCTTGTGCGGTGTTGTTCCGCTCACGAGCTTGCCAGCCGCCGATACTGTCATGAATGGCGGGATGGCGGCCTGGCCCTGCTCGTGCAAGTTGTAGTACTGGACTCCCTCGGGCCGCTGCTGCGCCTGCTGCCAGGGCTGCTGCGGTTGCTGCTGCTGCTGCTGATGAGGCTGTGGTCCACCATCTTCTGCCATTGGCTCGTCTACCTCCTCTGGCATCTCGTTCAGTTCGTTCAAGCAGCTCTCTAGCTGCGCTATCTCCATCTCGATCTCCTTTTGCTGATCTGCCAGCGACTGCATACGGCTCATCGTGTTGCTCAACTGGTCCTTGGCTTTGTCCAGCTTGAAGTTCACATCCCTTTTTTGATCCCGAATTGTATTCAAACTGTTCAGCGCCGACTTCAGCACCATCAACTCCATGTCGTGTCTGTCCGCATCTTCCCCTTTGTTCGCTTTCTTGGCCATGATGCCAGGCTGGCCAGCTTCTCCATCTGGCTGTGTAGCTCCTTCTTGAAGCTCTGCACTTCGGTCTGTCGCGTCGGCGGGGTCCGATACGCCGAGTGCGTCCTCGCCGCCCTGTGAGGCATCGGGGGAAGCCGTCGTATGTAGCTCTGCACCACTCCGTCTGGTTGCTTCCCTGCGCTCTGGCTTCGCGGCCTCTGTGGTCCCCAAGCCGCGGCACCTCTGGGCTGCTGCTGCTGGGCGCCCCTGGGCTGTTGGTGGCCGCCGTACATCTGGTTGTAGGTGACCCCGCACAGGCATCTGTTGTGCCAGTGCTTGACGTCGCGCCCGCAGCTGCACTTCCACGTGAACGCCATCTGGTTGCTGTGGTGGGCCAGTAGACGCTGCCTCGCCGCGTCCAGGGCCACGAGCAATCTCGCTTGGTGTCGTTTTTGTCTCTCCCGTCGGTGCCACGCCTCTTCGCGCGGCCTGCCAGTGAGAGAAGAAAAGACAACTATGTTGACACGTGGTGTCGCGGCGCTCTCTGAGCGCGCGCCTGGGGTCTGGCCTCTCAAAACAAGAGTTCGGTATCGGGTTGTGTCCTGCGGGGTGCTCAGGCCAAACCCGCTTGAGCCAAAATGGCTACGGACCTCCTCCTCCTCCTCCTCCTCCTCCTCCTCCGCTGCCTCTTGGGAATCCGAAAAGTACCATGCTCCTCCGTTTCCTTGCCTCACCCCAGACCTTGTGCCCACTGTGTCCTTGTAGACTCTGGAGGTACGCCCAGCGGCAGAGAGAGAGGCTCGCGAAGGGTGACGGGAACCTGCCGCTGGAGGTGCAGCAGGAGGAGTCGAGGGGGAAGTGGGGCGGGGGAGGGTCGGGTCGGACGCAAACAGGGGAGGGGGCAGCAAACGGTGTGTCAGGGAGCCGCACTTAGCTGATTTTCCCAACGCCGGAGGCGCCAATGTTTCCAGTAAAGCGCCCGGCGGCGAGGCCGAGACCAGCTGCCAGGGCCCTCCAAACGGGGACATGATTAAATCAGGACGCTGGCGCGCCCGAGAAATTGCAGCCGTGGGTCGAAACATTCTCCATGATTCGTTCCCTCCAGATGGAATGTTCAAACTGCACTGATTAGCAAAATGTTCTGGCACAGGAGAACTCAGCTGCCTCGATACGCCCGTTTTGATACGCAGCACGTGCCGTGCTGAACACGTCCGTGCCAACTCGTTGAGTATTGGCTCAGCGCTTCGGCCCACGTCTTGGCGAACGCATCGCGTCAGACCTGCGCGTTCAGTCCACGTGCTGAGCTCACTGAACAGACGCTGCGTGCTGCGTGTTGCGTACCGGGGCAGCTACGCAGGGGAACGGAAGCTGCATGAGGCAGAGCTCGCGCCCCACACCCCAGGCCGAGCCTGCGGCGCCTCGCCCCACCTCCGGCGCCCCTCGCGCCCTCGGGGGCAGGTCGGCGGACGCGACCGGGCGGCGGCGTCCACCAGCGGAGGGTGAGCGTCAGCCACGCGCAGGGGGGGGCGGGGGGAGGGGGAAGGAATTCTTAGGAGCACCCCTGCTTCTTAGAAGGCGCGGGCCTTGTCCATAGATGTAAGGCCGGCGCCTTCTAAGAAGCAGCCTCCTTCTAAGAAGCCCTCCCCCCTCCCTCCACCCCCTTGTGCGCACCGCCAAGAGTGGGAGCCGGCGGAAGTAGTATTGAGGTGAACGGGAGTCGGCGGCTGAAGTCTTGTTCGGCTACGCGTAAGAGTGGCCCTTCGCCAGAGTGACCGTTTCGGTGCGGGCCCGCGGGTGTCCCCCCAGCACTTCTCTTGCGCGCCGAGATTTGGCCCCTCTGCGACCCCCTGGAGCCGCGCACCAGAGGTCACACTTGCCCAGGGCCGCTCCTTCGTGCAGCCCGATGTATGAAAGGCAGCGGAGCAGAGGCAAGACGCTCGTATTTCTTGGGGGGAGGAGGGGCAGGCAGGGCTGCTCACGGTCCGATCCAGTCCGCAGACGTCGATTCCGAATCGATCCCGACCCGACGCGGACCGACCCTCTTTCTGGCCTGCAGGGGTCGAACCCCATCCGCCATCCCAAACGATCCGACCCGATCCGATTCCGTGCCGATTTGGACGCGATCCGATCCGTTTCCGACCCGATCCGTCTTCGCGATTCGATCCAGATCCGGCCTGGAAGACGGAGAGGGGGCCCGCTCTGAGCATGCCACTGCGTGAGTGCTCGTTGGAAAGATCGGTCGACTTCCGTGCGTCGTCGGGATGCCGGGGTCGGCGTTTCCGAGGGGAGACGCGCCGCTGTCGGCTACAAGTCAGTCAGGCAATGGTTGCGTGGACGTGCAACCTAAGCCACTCTCGCCCAGGGTGGAAGGCGCAAGGATCTCTCCCCCTGCGCGTAAGAAACCCCCAAGCCAGCCCACCGTCCCACGACGGGGATCCTCACCTCCTCTCTCCTCCTCCTCCTCCTCCTCCTCCTCCTCCTCCTCCGCCTCCTCCTCCTCCTCCTCCTCCTCCTCCTCCTCCTTCTCCTCCTCCTCCTCCTCCTCATGTTCCTCCTCCTCTGACCTCCCTGTTCCTCCTTCTCCTCCTCCTCCTCCTCCTCCTCCTCCTCCTCCTCCTCCTCCTCATACTCTTCTTCCCACGTCCCTCCACGAGGCCATTAAAGAGTGCAAGCTGTCATGCCAGTTTCTGGCCCGTGCGGTTCAGATTATTTGTGTTCGGCCAGATGTTTCTGGTGCTGCCCCAGACCCTCCACGGCCGCCCAAGGAGGCGAGGCCGAGGCTGGTAGTTATCGCTCATGATACCGTGCCCCTGGCTCTGGGATCCTCGGCGTTGCAGTGCAGGCAATGTTTGGCGGTTGCTCGGACTCCAGCCAGTGCCAAGTCGTTGCACAAGCCAGGGGCTAAGTGTGAGCTTGGGCCGATGCTGCGCCAGCTTGCTGCTCTTGCCGAGCGGCTCGGTTGGCGCCAGCATGCCGAGGGGGAGGGTGAGCCTGCCTATGCCGCTGCTGCTGCCAGTTTGGGTGCGGAGGCGGGTGGGAGTCTTCTCGTGTGCGACGGGCACCATATTCACAGGGCAGGGTCTTTCCTGTTCTGTGGGCTTTGCGGGGCCCGAGTTGCCCTGGGCTCGGCCAAGATCGAGGCCCTCGGTTAGCCCTGCCCCACGAACCCCCTAACCCTGCCCGCCGGCGAGCCAGGGACTGGCTCTCGGAAGGCAGGCACCCAGCGATTCGGATCAGGCTCGTCCAGTCTAATCCGTGATTTGCTTGGTTTCCCTTGGGGGCTTGTGTTTTATCACCTTCGCCCAGTATGATGTAGTCGTCGTTGCGTTCTCGGATGCTTCGCCGTTCTATGCTGCGTCCTGCGTCCTTCTCCTCCTCCTGCTCCTCCTCCTCCTCCTGCTCCTGCTCCTCCTCCTCCTCCTCCACCTCCTCCTATCATCTCCTCTCCTCTCCTCTCCT